CGGCAGGATTCTGAATCTTGTATCCTGGTAAGCAAGAACATGTACTTCCCAAAACATGATCAAATTTGCACAAGCTGTTTTGTCCACAGATGCCACGAACTCTACATGGTTGAATAAGGGATTGCCAAGTAACAATCCATCTCCGATCCTGCAAACTGTATAGCCTCAAACTGCCATCAGGATCAAGAGTTAAACGTCTCAGCGGACCTATACCCGAATCCGCTGCCCAAAACCACAAATAATCGGATGACCTGAAATAACCTGAGTTTAGTACAGCAGCTCGAGTGCTGTTATATGTAGACCTGTCACTACCCTTTTGCCAAGAAAGACGCCATTGAGCTGGCCAATAGACACTGGTTATGTTGGGTACTTGGTAGTGTTGAATGAAGTTCAGATTTTTGTAGTTTTCGAAGTACTGTGCCATCACATGCTGCAACAATTCAGTGTTTGATTTTTGATGTAATTTGACCTTTGGTTAGGTAGCTTTTTGTTAACCTTCTGTCAGTATAGACACTTGAGTAGGGGCCTAAATTAAGCTACTTGTAGTTTGGTAAACTACTCTTCCCCTTTCCCGAAAGCTAGTGTTTATTTTGCATAAAAGGAGAAATCAATGATCATTTTCTGTGTTCTGCTCATTTTTCTCTCTGTTCTTTTTCTCTCCATTTTTCGTTTGAGCAAAAACATTACATGGTATCAGAGCCTCCTCTGATCCTTGAGAGGCTGTGAGGGAGTGAAAATTGAGAGTGAGTGACACCCAAACAGAACCCAAACACCTTGAACCCCAAAAATGGAATATGGTTCTAGTTTCACAGCAAAAACACCCGTTTTCAATGGTCATAACTACCCAGTTTGGTCAATCAAAATGAAGGCTTATCTAAGGGCCTTCAACCTTTGGGAAGTGGTGGAAACCGACCAGCAGCCACCACCTTTAAGGCAGAATCCCACCTTGGCTCAGATAAAGCAGCATACTGAAGAAGTTACGAAAAGGTATAAAGCCTTGACTTGTATTCATTCTGCAGTAACTGATGAGATTTTCGACAGAATTATGCGCTGTGAAACAGCCAAAGAAGCTTGGGACTTGTTGAAGGTAGAGTTTCAGGGTGACAGCAAGGGAATTCAAATGCAAGTTTTGAATCTGAAAAGGGAATTTGCTGTTTTGAGGATGAATGAGTCTGAAACTGTCAAAGAGTTTTCAGATAGAATAATGAAGATTGTGAATCGAATCAGATTGCTGGGTGATGAAGAACTCTCTGATAAGAGGGTTGTTGCGAAGGTGTTGGTCAGTTTGCCAGAAAAATTTGAGCACAAGATCTCTTCTTTGGAAGATTCCAAGGATCTTTCCAAAATTCCCTTAACTGAACTTATCAACTCTTTACAAGCTGTTGAACAGAGAAAAGCCTTAAGGTCCCAAAGCAATGTGGAAGGTGCTCTCTTGGCTACCGAAAAGGGTAAAAGCCAACAAAAGGAAGGAGTAAAGAAGCAATTTTTTGACAAGAAATGGAAAGAAAAGAAGGAGTTTCAAATAGATTTCAAGGGCGGTAGATACAAGGGTAAAAAGGAGTCATTTCCTCCTTGTATTCACTGCAAAAAGACAACTCACACAGAAAATTTTTGCTGGTTTAGGCCTGGTGTTCAGTGCAGGTCTTGTAAGCAATTCGGTCATGTTGAAAAGGTCTGCAAATCAAAAGCAGACTCTACATCACAAGCTCAAATTGCAGAGAAACTTGATCAACAGGAGGAGAAGTTGTTTGTGGCCACTAAAGTGGAAGCTTGTTGTGCTATGAATCTCAGTTGTAATGTTTGGTTGATAGACAGTGGATGTACTCACCATATGACTCCAAATGAGAGCTGCTTCAAAAGCCTTAACAAGAGTTTTACCTCTAAAGTCAGATTGGGTAATGGAGAGCTAGTAGAAGTTAAAGGAAGGGGAGTAGCAACTGTTGATACACTAACAGGTATCAAGCTTATTTATGATGTTCTATTTGTTCCTGAGATTAGCTACAGCCTTATTAGTGTTGCTCAGCTTGTTGAAAACAAATACTCTTTGCACTTTCATGACAAGCTATGTGATGTATTTGATGAATTTGGAAATTTGTTGTTATCTATTAAAATGCTTGATAGGAGTTTTCCTATTGAATGGAAAGAAACTCAGATAAAGGCTTGCGTGAGTACTGTTGATAATTCTTGTGTCTGGCATAAGAGGTTTGGTCACTCTAGTTATCAATCTTTGCTATTGATGCAAAAAAAGAGCATGGTTTTTGGTATGCCTCTTGTTCATGTTGATGAACATGTTTGTAAAGTGTGTCAGCTTGGTAAGCAATCGCAATTACCTTTTCCATCTGGTCAAGCTCATAAAGCTTCTATGAAGTTGCAGCTAGTTCACACTGACATTTGTGGTCCTATGAAGACTGCTTCTTTAAGTGGAAATAGATATTTCCTGATTTTTATTGATGACTTCAGCAGATTTTGTTGGGTGTATTTTCTGAAACATAAATCTGAGGTATTTGATGTTTTCATTAAGTTCAAAGCCTCGGTTGAAAATGAGTGTGGTTTGAATATTAAAACACTTAGATCTGATAATGCAGCTGAGTATACTTCTCATAGATTCCAACAGTTTTTGCAGCAACATGGAATTCATCATCAGCTCACAATTCCTTACACACCTCAACAAAATGGTGTGAGTGAAAGGAAAAACAGATCTATTTTGAATATGGCCAGGTGTTTGCTATTTGAGAAGAACTTGCCCAAGAATTTTTGGGCT